TCTCTCTCTCTCTCTCTCTCTCTCTCTCTCTCTCTCTCTCTCTCTCTACCAGGATGACTGTCTGGAAAAGGTGATTAATGACACAGAATGTCTTTTCAAGTCCCGAGAGAAGGAATACCAAGAGACAATTGACCAGATTGAGGTTAGACACAGATTTTTAAATTTCAAAAATATCCTTTTTCATATACGTTTTTTTCTGTCTTTTTATGGTCAGTGTTATTTGTTTATTCTCATGTCCTTTCCTGGTGCAGCTCTCAAAAATTCACAAAAGAGGATTTACATGATGACTCCGCATTAAATGACAGACAATTCTTTACATCTTTTAATGATGCTTTGATGAATTCCTCAATCAAGGCTCAAGAACCCCTTGATTCATTTGTCCCTCCTGCTTTCTTGTTAGATTGTGTTGTGTTGTGATTCTTTATTTAGACATGACATAAAGCCATGTGAAGCGTGGTAACTTGCCCTGCACGTAGCCAGCGCCTTGTGTTTTACAGAAGTATACACACTTTTTATTGGTAAACACACATACAGCATTTGTAATTTAATTGTAATATGACTGACTGCATGTTTTCTGACTCCAGGTGGATCTGGCCACAGCAAAGAGTGACATGAACCGACACCTCCACGAGTACATGGAGATGTGTTCGATGAAGAGAGGCCTAGATGTTCAGATGGAGACCTGCAGGAGACTCATCACACAGAGTAGAGACAGGTAACACACACAAACACGCGGCTCTCAGTCTACATGATCTATCTGCCTATCTGTCCATTTGTTTTTCTCTTTAAGTTACACTTCACCATAAGTCCCCTGACAACATTTATAAGGGGATTTATTGCCATCCTGTGGTGAGGTTGCAGATAGAAAGCAACAACATGACCCTCCGCTCCCCCCTCCCTTTTCAAGCATGTCAGAGAACTACGGTGGCCTTCTAGTATGGAAAGCTATCTTTAGGATTTCATTACTACAAGGAGCTAATTTTATCAACACTCGGTTCTTTTTCATGACCAAATGATTGCTTTTAAAAACACATGAATTCAGAACAGAAATTAGTTATTTATAATTTACTAAAAATTGTTTCTAGAGCAGCATGAGTAATGTTTCCAACAGAAAAGTCACAATAAAAAGTAATTAATATATCACTGTAAACAAATTTGAAATTTGAAATGTCAATGAAATAAATAACATTCCTGAGTGAAGTAATTAATAATGAAGAACGCGACGTTAGATAGTATCAGTCCTTCCTCCTGTCTGCTTTGTCTCAGCCAGCAGAGAAGTTTACAAGAACAGCCTAAGATAAACAGACTTCAGACAGACAACCTCTGTTTCAGCTTGTTTGTTGAAACAACAACAACAACAAAAAAGAAGATTTTAGCCGATCATGTGTGCTGAGCTTGTGTAAACATAGTGGCGGTGGATGAGAGCGGCCGACTAAATTAGGTTTCACTTTTGATTACATGTTGGTGCTTGTTGAACAAATGTATTGATAAAGTATTGGCTTTTTTTACCTATACCTATAGGTATATATTGTATCCTTTTCCTGAACATAAAAAACAAATGAAGAGTGACACGTGATTTTTTTTTTTTTACATTTTTGCATTTCTTCTTTGTTTTTGTGTCGCACAGTAACTCTGATGCGTCTGCGTCCACTGAGGATGGCGACCAGAGAGAAAGCGACAAGTCCTTATCATCGCCGCCTTCTTCCTCGTGCGCTAGAAGATCTTGACACTTCCTCACTCCGGCAGCAACGGGGGCTGTGCTCACGTGACCTCCACCGCTTCCAGCTACAGTACCACACCGACGCAATACACACCTGTAACTATGGCACATGAACCTCTTCATTTACGGAGTAGTTTTGTTAATTCTTCCTGCTGTCCACGCAAGTCAGCTTTGGTCTGAGGAGACTTTTTAGCGCTGAGACTGTGATTGAGTATCTGGATTTCTGTCCTTACTACTTCATACAGATGTCACTGACGTCCCGCAGAGAGGAGAGGTCTTCTTACAGTAGGACCTTGTCATCTTGTGTTTGACCGCAGTAGTTAGGAAAGTGAATCTTTATTATGGAGTGTCCTGTGCAGATTCAAAAAGTTGAGGATCCTAAATGTATTGTAAGTAAACGGGCTGATGTCCTTGCAGTGCAGTGCAGTATGCTACTGGAAAACACAGCAGGACTTATTCACTCCAAACACAGTAAAAAACACTTGATAACCTGGGCATCTGAAGCTAATCGATCAAATGCATGTTGTAAGGTCACTGGGGTCTTGTAAAGTTCACTCCACACATAGTTACAGGCCTGTTATTATAAAACTATCACTAAACAATCACACTAAGGGGATAGTTTGTGTCTTGAAGTAACAAAGGTTGTCCTGGAGTGTATTTCTGAGTTTGATTGGTCAGTTTTATATTGATAATGATGAGCTTACGTCTTTAAAGTCTAATAAGCATTTTGCTGCCTTACAGCTGCAGATTCAAAGCTTGCTTTCTATCGGTGTAGTAACTAATTAAACCACAGGCAACGCAAACCTTATTTCATAAATAAATCAAAACATCTCTGCTATATTTAGCGAAACATAAAGTGGAAAAATGATTAAGGAAACAACCAAAGCATTAGCTGTGGAGCTGCAGAGTCGTGTCTCTGAACATCAACATGCCTCCTCCCTCTTGCCAATGTGAATTGGGTACGATCCTGAAAACAGTAAATAGAAAGTTTTGGTTGTCTGTCATAATTTCAGTCCGTTGTTTATCTGCTGTGAATTACCCGAATCCAAACTGGATTCTATGTAAGAAATCCGCTGTAAAGAAATGTTACCATGTTATTTATTGCTGATGTGCTTTGGACTTCGTGGCTCACCTAAAGGTGACATTTTTATTATTATTAGCCACCAGCATCAATGTCAGCCGGAATTGTTGAAAATGAATTTGGAAAATATCAAAGTAGAGCACCGACAAGATCATTTACAACATTTCATAACAACAACAAAAAAACAACATCTGAAATACATTGAACATCACAGATATATCTGTTAATGGTGCTTCATAGCAAACCCAAAGTTCCAGGTGAAAGCAGAGATGGATGTAATCAGTGTCCAAGGGAAGCATGTTTGTTTTTAGTTTTAAATGCACCCTCTTTAAGATGATCTAGAGTCAGTGTTGGGTCTTCATTCTGCTCTCTGGCAATAATCACACGGTGTGACAAAGTGCACTGTAGCTGTTACTAATTAGTTTTAGTTTCAGCAGTATTGTCTAAAATTAGAGTCGGGTCCTGGATCGTTTGAGCAGAGCTGCATGGTTGAATCACTTAAAAAGGAGAACAAAAGAAAGTCACAAAATAGAGTAAGTTAGCCATTTATTGCCAAAATAAAATGGCCAGATTGTGAATCAACAGAAAGTTGCTGTAAAAAATAAATAAAATAAAAATGTAACATAGCTGCCGAAGCTATTTCACCAAGGTGCTTGATGTATATAACTAAACCTATTTTTCAGCCTGTTTGCACATAGAAAGGAAGAGCAGAGCAAAAATGTACATGAAACAATCAGCACTATTACTTGTAAAACATGTAACATAAAGATGTCGACACGCTGGAAATAGAAAACTATATTTCTTCTATTATGTTTACTCATCTTCTACAACTAGAACTAGAATAATGAATTTAACACGAACACATACCTCATTTCCTTTATGTTTTCCTGGGTACATTTAACCATGAACTTTTTACTCAGACACACTGCTACAGTGAAACATATATTAGCATACTGCTGGAAATCATCACTGTCGGGGAAACGCCCCCCAAACCATCACTGCTCTTTCATCAGACACTGTTGTCTAAATATAGTCCTGGCTGTAGTTTCTTCTGTGTGGTTGTACCGGTTGATACATTTCTTCTGCTTCCACTGCGAGTCACACTTCCAACACTTTGTTTCAATAATAAAGACGGTAAGAGGACAGAATTTAATCTTGTATAAACTCATGCATGTGTGGCTGATGGATTCAGCTGAGTGCTGATCGCACTCTTTCCACTACTGTTTGAATACAGAAGGAGGATGCCAGAGATAAATTGTGTGAGACATAAAACACGTCATTTCCCTTTTTGTATAGTTTTACTTTCATGCACTGAGTGGGTCTCTATGTATGCATGTGCCAGTGTGTCTGTATAGTGAGTGTTTTTAAAAAGACTTTTACTGGAGCAAATGTACAACATGAAGAAGAACGAAACAATAGTCCAATCTGACATTGTCTCTCTGTTTAGCATTTGAGACTGAGCTGTCTTTCTGACAATAATCACCTCAAAAATTTAAAATAGCTAAATCAAATGACAATGGAGGTTGTTTTCTTTCCATTGATACTTTTCTCTTTATGAGTGTACGTGGTTGCCAAATAAAGTCAATTTAAAAATAACTTGCGTTAAAAAAAACAACACTGAAAAGAAATGCAAATGCTTCAGTGAAATGACTGTACGATGACTTTGATATTATATGTGTAAAGGAGCTATAGCTTTGAATATATACTTGTGTTCAAAGACTGCAAAGGAAGAATGTCCACTGTCACACACATGGAAAGAAATTTGAATTGAGATAAATTATCGGATTGCCCAATTTAGTTTTTCAGTGGAAAAGATGGCGGTCAATGACAAGATATGGCGTTTTTTTTTGTTACTTTATTGTTGTCACAGAGAAGACAAAATAATTGGATTCGATTTGTGTCGCAAAACAATTTGATGATAATCCTGAGTATTGATCAAGTTCTCCAGATGTGTGACGATGCAGCTTTAAACATCAAGACAGTAATTTAGGCTAAAAGAAGCTTCACTGCAGAGCTATGTAACGTGTCAAGAGAGACTGAAAGAATAAAACATGCAACTGAGCACCAACATTATGTGTTATTACTTGTAAAACACTACATGTCTTTCCTTTTAGCCTTTTCGGTCTGTCTTAAAATTAAAGGGTTAGTTCACCTAAAATTACAAAAAACAAATGGTGTTAAAAGGAATTGTGTTTGTTGCATTGACTTGTAATTACATTTCAACAAACCAACAGCAGCATCTCTTTCTAGAAATAATGTCGATACTTAATCATCATTAACAGTCTGCAGAAGGAAGTGTTGACGCTGTCAGGACACACCAACTCTCCGCAGAGGTGGAGTAGTATTGTTGTATATTTACTGAAATGTTGTTGTATAATTTTGAGGTACTTCCATTTTTACGCTACAATTCTATACTTCATTTGGCATATAGCTACTTTTCAGACTACAATTTTCATCATATCAGATCATATGATGGGTTTATAAAATACAATGCGATGTTAGCGGTGTCTAGTGAGGACCTATTCATCATGTTTCAGATGTTCATGAGTTGTTAGCAGCATATTAGCAAGAGAGATTTCCCTCCTAAACTTTTCAGATGGTTTAATTCAAATAACTGTTGTAGGCCCAGAGAGGTGAGATTATCTGATGATTTACACAGAAAAAGCAAGTTAGAGAAAATCCCTCCAAAATTATACAATTTTGAGTCGCAAAACCTTTTCTGTTTTGTCGTCGTACTGCTCACATTATTCATCTCACAACCCCTCAGATGTACTCTGTGACCTTTTGATGGGGCCTGAGCCAGAGGTTGAGAACCAACGGACTATCAAACTGTATATAAAGTAGTTGTAAAAAGCCTCAACCAACTTTCACTTTCTTGATGTATATTTAGCTGATAACAATTCTCACTGAAGTAGGATTTTCAATCCAGGACTTTACTTTGAAAGGGAGTTAAAATTCATGTTTTCATTCAACCTTCATTTATTCATGTATTCATACTTTTACTTAAGTTCAGGGTCTCAATACATATCCCACCACTCTTCATAGATACCACAAGGAATAAGTTCATTCTCGTGAACGCGATATCTCAGTAACTTCTTGAGGGAATCTTTTCAAATTGGCACAACTCGAGGATGAACTGACTACAGTTTGCTGGTCAGAGGTCAAGGTGACGGCATAAAACACAGTTTTGGCCATAACTCAAGAATTGATACGCTAATATTCACACAAACGACTCATAGTATAACTTATGAAGTGATGACATATTGGACAGACATGGTTGGAACTTGTAACTTGACTGGTGGGCGGAGGAATTCATCTGCAGGGCAGTAATTCAATTTTTTATTTTGTGTGAACTAACCTTTTAATTGAGATTCATATTTCCACTGATTCAGCTAAAAATAACACCTATTACAAAGTGAAGGAAATCTGAGTAATGTACTCGGATGTGATTGAAAATATACCGTCATCAGAAATGAAATCGTACCCGTCGCTATCAAAAATGATCTGCTTCTTCATCACTTGTCGGGTTTTACAGTTTGCACGGAAAGTGATGAGGCTTTGATGCAGAAGCGTTAGTCAGAGTGCAGACGGGTCTGAATGTGAGAGCTGAACGTGTGAATGGGACCGCAGCCAACTGGTAGAGATCAGTAGGTGGGAGGGACAGGAAGATGTCACCAGGTAAGGAAACAGTGACACAGAGGATGGGTAGAGCGAGCGAGTGAGAGGACAGAGAGAAAGAAAGAGTCACACCTTGAGGAAGTTAACAAAACAATACAAGGAGAACAAAGGACGCACCATATCAAAGGTAAAAACAGTTTTTTTGTTTGTTAATGTTTCGTGATATTTTATTGTCGCAGCTTATTTATGGTACGAGAAATTTTATTGGTGCACCAAACTTTACGGAACTTGCTCTTTTAATGTGTTTCTGTCACTGATCAGTTGATATAAGTGATTTGTTTTAATATTTTCGACATTTTTCTCCATAGAATGGGACTTGTGCAATGTTTTGTGATCGTCTTGATGTTATCTGCACAGTTGGTGCTCACATTTCCGCTGGAAGTAATGTCCTTCATTTTCATCTTTCTGTTTATCTACCTACATGTTCGTCAAATAAAAAAATAAAAAAGTAGTGTATAAAAGAATAGCTGTCGAATATATAAACAAGTGAATCAGTACTTTGCTGGAGTATAGAGGTTTGTATCTAATTGTTTTAATGTGTTAACAGACAGATGGGACCCATCATTACACTGTGGGCGACGAAATGTGTCAAATGTGCCCTGCAGGTAAGATGATATCTGATGTGAGCGTCATCTATTTCTGTATCTGTTTTTCTGTCTATTCCTCATTTAGCTTTGACTCACTGTTTTTAATGAATGAATCAGCGATTCATTGGAAATAACTATGAAACACTGAGGCATACAGTATCCATCTTTCTCTGTCTATCTCTCTGTTTGTCTTGATGAAAGATTATGCCCGCTACACACAGTTTGTGCTGTATGACCACATCCTTCATTGATATGCGCTCTGGGCGAGCAGCCACTCTCTGCTCTCCACCTCATCCGGTTGTTCTCGTTTGTTTGTTTCTGTTCTGTCAGGTAAGTATTGGAAGTCTTGTACAGAGTGCGAGTCCTGTACTGCTGGATACTACACAACTGAGTTGAACCGTGAACCCATCTGCCATCCCTGCTACGGAGACTGCACACCAGGTAAAGAAACTATGACACATTGCTACCAACTTAACGGTTTCATCCGTCACTGATGATGATGATGATGATGATGATGCCAACAGAAAAAAATTATCTCTTTGCATTTATGGAATTTCTTTAATCTTCTCATGTGATTAAAACCTCTAAAATCATCTCTGTTTCCCACTGTCTCAGATTATCATCTGAAGGTGGTTCAGAACTGCACCAGGAAGACAGATGTGAAGTGCGTCTGTGAGGATGGTTTCTTATGCACTGAAATGGTCCCATACTCTAAAAACTGCAAGAACTGTGTCAAGATTCAAGAGACGACCACGACTGGTAAATACTGAGCAGAATGGAAGAGTTTTAATTCTGTCAACCAGCAGAGGACCTCATGACAGACATAATATACTTTTGAAGTTTTCACTGACTGAGAGAATGACCAATAATGATACTGAAGGCTATACATAAGTCACTTACATGTGACAGTTATAAAAATGTATAAGGGCTCAGATCTGAGCTCGGGGGGGCTCCACTCTCAGTGAGGTGATTAGTACTGTCAGAAATATTCAGACCTTTTACTTAGAATAGTGACACTATGGTGTAAAACCATTACTACTCAAACATAAAAAGTAATTTTTTTATTTACATATATATTTTTGATAGAAGATTTCTGTCACAGAGCCATGAACATCTTCAATGTTACTGATAAGAAATAATGAAACATTGCAAATTCACAAAGAAATATAGATATAGGAAATATAAGATGTTGTCCAAAAACTTTTTAGATAATGTCTAAAAATGCATTTCAATCAGGCAGGAACAAAGACTGTGTTCACAGTAGCATAAAAGCTGATGCTTTACAAATAAGACTTTTTAAAGTGTTCTTTTTTTTGTGGGACATTTTATGCTTTTAATGTGAGTTGACAGTGGAGCGATGACAGGGAATGAGGGGGAGAGAGATGAGAATGACCAGCAACAAAGGTCTCAACGCTGACCGGACGTTAACCAGTGCAGTTCATGGTCTGAGCCTTCACCCTTAGACCACCAGGGAGCCACAAACATTTGACTTTTACACAACAACAGTGATGTTTTTTCTAATTTCAAATAGAAGAAGAATGTACAATTATAATATGAAAAGTAACTACAGCTGTCAGCTCAATTTATTCAGCTAAGTGAAAACGTGAAAACTGAAATGTAGTAATTTGGAAGTACAAGTACAAAGAGTCCCAAAATAGAAATTCTCACATACCAGTACATCAAAACAGAAGATGACGATGAGGAAGGATGTTCCCATCTCACACATATTCTCTGCCTCAAGCTGCACATGGTACTTTCACTTCAGTGGAGCACGTTTTTCCTTTTAAACTCTCACATCCATCCTAGTTGTTTGAATTTTGTTTAGCTTATGTTAAATTTTGTACATGCTGTGACTCAAACACCTTCTGATGTATATCTGTTCAGTTTGTTGCATTAGGGCTGTTGCCCTTGCCAAGATATGTCAGTGAGATTTAGTTTGTTCCTGTGTTTTTCCCCTGAAATCTGAAACAAATACTGTTTTTTGTTCTGCAGAAGTAGCCGCTGTTACTTCAGGCAAAGATAAACACACACCTTCCTCAGCTTCCTCAGGACATAGCAGCACTTCCGCCAAACCCTGCCAATTTCCCAAGTATGTCATGGATTTCCGTATATACAGTACATTATTAATACCTGACATCTTTGTTCATAGGGTCACATATTTGAGATACCTGACATATTCAACACTTCACCCTTATCTCACAGGTGTGGCCCCCAGTCAGACCCACCGGCAGGAAATAGCTCACATGCCAAAGGAGGTGAAGGTGAGAAGAGTTTGTGGAGAGTGCACAATATTTTCAATTGATTTCTATAGTTTTGAGGCACAATGATGGATTTTTAGCCACGCTAGCAGCGTGACTCCAGTGATGGCAATGTCATCATTCCAGACTGATATACCTCATGGATTTGATGAAATGTTGTACAGACATTCACGACCCTGAGAGGATGATTCCTCTTGACTTTGGTGATCCCCCTTACTTTTCCTCTGGCACCACCAGAAGGTTCTCACTTGAAGTTTTGAGTGAAATATCTCCTAACTGGTTTACCATGGAATCCCTGATCCCTGGTTCATCCCTGAATTTGGATTTGGCACCATCATCATGTAAACATCATAATTTGTCCAATTAGTTTATGACCGAATACCACGCTAACAGCCTAATCTATGTTAGTGAACCTGTTAATACTACGTGCTTCACATCAGCACGTTGACGTTGTCATTGCGAGCATAATAGTATTTAGTTAATAGCCCTGCAGCGCCTCACAGAGACGCTCGCATGGTTGTAGACTCTTAAGACTTGTTTCTTTTTCTTAGACGAGACGGAAAATGAGCTGGTGGCCATCTTGTGCCCAGTGGTTGTCGTGGGATGCGTGGCCCTTGTGATCCTGTTCTTCGTTCGTCGCCCCAGAGACGAAACATGTTTCAAGCAAGGTAATGTGGTGTTCACATGCAGGACAGGTTCAGTTTCTGGTGTTTCAGTTTAATCAATCGAACCTCTCGAACTTTATGATCACGTCACTTCTGGGAAACAATAAACAGTTTCCTGAATTGTATCATTAGCGTTAGTTGCTTTATAAATCAAATACATGTTGATTCATCATTGGTGGACATGTGTAAAGAAACTGACTTTCTATCATTAATTTATTTATCTGTTGTTTTCCAGCTATTATAAAGTTATGCAATGAGGTGAGTAACTCATTTCCAAGCTTCTATCGATCATGTATTTCTCTTTTGTTTGCACCAAACTGATGGACGTGTTCTTCTGTAGGGAGGAACAGATGCTTCTCACAAGCCAAACGACTCAACTCATCAGTTCCCAAAAGACTCATACAGTGCAAAGCAGCAGCCACCATTCCTTTCAGCAGCCAATCTGGGTACTGATGAGTGAAATGAAGACTTTAATGTGAAATACTTGACTCACTTTGTGGAGTCATAAAGAAAATAAAACAAACACGTAAAAGATGCAGCTGTGTTACTGTAATGAGTCTGAGTTGTACTTAGTTGTCCTACACTGTAAACTATATTTTAATGTACCTCTACGGGTCAATTAAAACATTCTTTTAAGTCCACTCTTTGTTTGTTCTTATCCCTGTAGGTCCAGTCCATGTCCACAATCCGGGGACGGTCATCTTTAGCTTGCTCAATCAGTTTACAGGCCAAGTTGGACCGACAATTGAATGTGGGAAGACAGCTGAAAGAGTGATTAGTGAAGAAGAAGACGAGAGACACTGTCCTGTGTTTCATCCCACATCTTCTCCCAGTATCCATCTCTCTGAGGAGGAGAGGAGCGAAGAGATTGACAGCATTTTCTTTCCCTCCCAGGAGCAGGGGAAGGACTTCCACATGTCCAAAGAGGAGGTGCTATGATGCATCCTAAAAAACCCTAGAAGATTTGTGTTGGTGCTTACGTCCAGACTCATCCGAGACAAATTCTTTTAAAGGAACTGTGAAACCGCAGATGAGTGTGAAGCAGATCCATCTCGTGTGAAGGGATCTCAGTGCTCTGCAGAGACATTTTTATCTGCAGGTTCCAAGAAAACTTGTAGTCAGTACACACCAGAAACTTTACCTCTGGGAAGAGTTGGAGGGTGATCTGCTTTGTAAGTTATTGTTTTTAAATATCATGTAAATACTCTTTAATACGCTCTGTCACTTTGCTTTCAAGTATTTAACCTGAATGTTTAATGTTTTGCATAAATGAGGCATTTTGATTACAACACAATTTTATTTAGAATACAGAAAACTAAGTAGAAATGCATGTTAAAAACATTGTATTATCTGAAAATTGTATTCATATATACACCTATAAATGTTAAGATGTGAAATATCTTTAAATGTTGTGTACAATAGTACATACCTGCATTTCGAAACATACTGCACAATTTATAACTCATGCATGACAAATACAGTGTCACATTCGGTATGTTCATTGTCTTTCAGATTCTTAATCTGTGTTTTTACACACTGGTATCATCTTATTGTCACAGATGTCATGTTTCACATGTCCTGAAACAAACGTTTTCTGTGGTTCCATTCGTCAGCATGGGCCAAGTAACGTTTGCCCCCATTTGTCAGTAATGTCCAAAGCAACGGGAGATGTTTTGCTCTAAATGATCGCCTGTCAAATCCTTGCTCATCCAAGTTTAGGCTCTTTAACTCACACTTCACATTTCCCAAGAACTTCCTGGACAGGCGTAGATACTTCTTCGTCCTCGGAGCATTGTGGTACTGGTTGCGGGTCTTTGGCCAAAATGTAGCCTGAGCAACAAAAGAGTAGGAGCACGTTTTTTTGTGTGATTAGATTGAAATACAAGTTAATAATCACTTCAAATTTTTATGAAAAAAAATGCAAATTTGTGCACATTATAAAATTATAAAAGTAAAATGCTCAGTGTACGTCCTGTGTTTGTACTCTGCGGCAGGTTATCTGATTCATAATAATAACCTACTAACCGTGTTTGGCCTTGACCCAACGCATAAAGGGCTTGATTTTTGCTACAGCAGCAAGTGTGATTCCTGCACACAGGAGGGAAATTATCACCAGGAACCAGACTGCATCTGTAAGACATTTTTGAAAGATTGAGATAAACTGGAGAAGTGTCCTTGTTTTTAACTGGCACACACAGAACTTTACCTTACCTCTGATTGGTTGAGTAGGTGTCCAGAGAGTAGTGAGGGCTCCTGGTTTCAGGACTGGAGGGAAAGAGATTAAAAAAAACCTGTATCAGCTCAGTGCAGGCACATTTAATAGCTCAATGGAAATATTGAACTATTCGTGGTGCAGATTAGCCATCTGAGGTCCTATTTTTTTTAACAGGAAGTCTGGATTTATAACCACACAACACTATTTATAATTAACTCATTGCACCTTGTGTGTGTGACCTTACACCATGGTTACTGCAGAGTAAACAAGATAACTGAGGTCGGACCATGTAAAAGAATGTATCTACATTATTATCATTGTTTGAAAAAATCAAGTGCATTAAAAAAAGACCACCTTTTTTATGGAGCTGCTGGAGCACCAAATGATGAAACAATAATAATGGAGGAAATCAATTACAATGTTTAAATGTGCACAGTATCTCTGACTGCTGCATATTATCCTTTTGCCTGTTTACACATCCAGTAGACACAGAGCAACATAAGCATTTATTTGGAGTAACTTTAGGTTTCTTTTGGCTCTGTTTTGTTCTCCACCAACTCCCGAGGGAAATATCTGGCTCTTTAGCTGCTAATGCTCCGCTTTGTTCACCAGCTAGTCCCTAACTTCTGTCTGTAGGCGTTTTAGTGCTGAGCAGGTAGCATACAGTGGGTTAATCAGACTTTTGCTTTAATAAAAACAAACAAACTCTATGGGTTTGTCACTTCAAGCGACTCCTTTCACATACAAGTAGTCTTTTGACCCTTTTTTGATCGGAAAACCTTTGTGAGTGCAGCTTTAAAATATCTAGTTGATAACATTGACTGTATGGTTTATAATCAAGAGTCCTGCGTTAACTTTAATCTGTCAACATCTTGTTGTGAAAAATACAAGTCTTTTGTATGTTTTTTAACTAAAATAATCTAGTAAAATGTATGTGTTTCCACTAAATTACAGTCGTTACCACCCCTCAAGCGATAGCAGCAGTGATACGCAGAATAAGATTTGTGTCAATGGCTGGCTGTATATTATTCTCCATTTAATGCACAACACACAAAAACTAAACAAATCAAGTTATAACTTTACATCAGCTAACAATCTTGTTTTTTTCGCTTCCTAATGGTGATTGGTTCAACCTGTACACTCTGACATTACAGTTAAATGTGGTTATGGGTGCACCATATGAACCAACAGCGATGTTGGTTGCGGTGCACCTGATGCTGAACCAGAGAGGTCCGTATCTTATTTTTTGTTAAATGAGCAGATTAATAGAAAAGTCTGCCAAAGGTACCTGTAGTGGATGGAGGGAGTGTGGATGGAGGAAGTGTGGATGGAGGGAGTGTGGATGGAGGGAGTGTGGATTTGGTGGTGGTAGATGGTATCGGCACACACTGTCTGCAAGAATCGTCTTTGCATCTGTAGTCAGCTTTACATCTGCACACAGCGTTATGAGTGGTGGTACAGGGTGAACTATACTCCATGTTCGCTGTAAAAAAAAAAAAAAACAGTTATTAAAAGATCAAAGTCGGTCATAATTCTAGGTATGCGTATGCGTATGCGTGTCTGACACATATGTACAAAGATTGCATGTAAAATATGACATATATCAGAAAATGAGAAATGACTCACAAACTGGGTATGCCAGGCATAGATTTTGGTTTTGTGTCATAAGATGGTTATAATATCACTTTTGATGCCTGTTCTTTAGGTTTCTCAGTGAAAGCAGAATTTCACTTTGAAGACCTTTGACGACTTTCTTTCAGAATAATGCTTTCAAGTGCATACTTCAACACCAATTCACAAAAACACTTCTATGAGTCCCATGGTGCCATAGTCAGCAAACCATTTGTTTAACAACCAGTCCAACATAGGATATAAAACTCCGACAATGACATAAATTCGGGGATTCAAGAACTGAAAATGTTATACTGCATAAAAAAACATTTGTATAAAGGTTTAAAATATGTGGAACGGTGCCTCCGTTGAAACTGTTGCACTTCCAAACCCTGATGGAGACCAAAGATAACCCAAAAAAATATTAATACTGTTGTATTGCAAAAGCAGTGTATGAGGTTCTTGTGTGGGTTGAATCATTTCCACCTGAATTAGTTTCCACGGTCGTTAATTGGCATAAAGCCCCTTCATATGTAGGATTAGATGTTTTTGACATTTTAAACACCCACCTTCATCCCTTTCAGTGTAATGTCAGATTGTAACATTGGATCGACATATGCTCACCCTTTGATTATGATATGTAAAGAGAGCATCTCTGTGCACACGTAAAAGTCAAGTCAAAAGAATCACATGCACTTTCTGACACTTCTGTGTTTTCTCCCCTCTGTGTTTTCCACAGTGACATTTAAAAATAAGCACAACAAGCTGTTTTTGCTCACTTGTAGCAGGGCAGAGACCTGCGTAATAACATAAGATATGACATTTCTGTCTGCTGCTCTTTCCGATGTTTATCACTTTTCTGTGTTTTTCTCTATATTCCACCGACATGATAAAAAGTCAAATTTTTTAACCTCCTATCTTTACCACAATTAGTGGGCTGTGCTGCTGATTGTGTTGTTACTGCTGTTGAATCCCACCTTAATAACCTTCTGAGCTGGTTTACAGAGGGTTTCTCAGACCCCCCCAAATCCCCTCCTCCTTTTAATCTCTCTCTGACTGTATCCCACCATGACACGCATAACGGGAAATCCCCTCACAGGTGTGGTCTATGGGCAAACTTCTCTGAAATCATGATCTAGAGACATAGTTGATTAACAGCTAATAACAGCCCATCTTCTGTTGTACGTTCTAACTGGACTTGTCACATCTAGCAACTCACATCATATCATGCTCAAAAGATATGACACACAACTGGGAACCACAATGTTTCACAGTATTTCTGTAGTAATAGTTAATCACTTCACTACACACGGCATCTACTGCTCTGTGTTTCTGTTTCTAGCATTCTTCTTCAACCTGTCTGATAATGAGAGAGTCCAATAATCATATTTAATTCAAATGTTCTGTTTTTCATGCATCATCAGGGGGCTGATTGTCAAAATAAAAGAGGTTCAAATCTGATGTATGAGCAAGAATTCCCCGATTTGAAGCCTCCTTGAGTCTCTGTGAGCTATGGCTTAGAATATTATACAATATCAGATAAACTACAGTGATATAACTTCTGTCACAAAGGCTGTTTGAGTTGTGTGTCTATAAGTAGGATTTTCACACAGTTCAGGTCCCACATATATACTTTACATGCCAAGAAAGAGAAAAGCTGTGATATTACTTACGTTTATTGCAGTTTTCGCAAACTTCGCAGCTCATCTCCCTGTTGTAAGTATCACTGTACCGGTCACCAATGCAGGGTCGACACACAATTTCACAAATGCTGGATGAACGCCGCACCATATGTTCACCTGGAATAATACAATAATATAACCTGTTTGCATTAAAACTATGAAATCTATCAAGACAAAAAGGAGTAATTGTACAGTACCTGGTAGGCACATGTTACAGCACAACTTTGGTCGGTCCACTGGCCAGGCATATTGTGTGTTATTGCAGTGTATGGAAAACACAGGAGAGAGGAAAGAGAGACTGCACAGGAAAGTAAAAACTAAACGAGAGAGTAGCTGCATCTGTGAAGAAGAAAACAAAAAGAGGATGAGGATGAGCAGAGAGAGGAGGTGGAGGAAAATTGATTTATTTCATCAGATATATTCACAAAACAGACACTGAGTGAAACAACATGCATCTTTGATGAAATGACAAAGGTCTGTAGCGCAGTATTCACACGTCATAATAAACAGAATTTGCCAGTGAAGCTACACAATAAACTATACGTACACTTTTCAGATAACATAGTACTGATAGAGAAAAATAAGCATTGTACTAAAACAAACAGCTTCCTAACTTTACAGGGAGATTACAGAAAGCTTTTAACACAGGTTTGTCTGACAGCTATGATTGAAAGCCTCTCGCTGACAGCCTTTACTTACCGTGGACGAGAAGGTGAGACAAGATGTAACCTGGGACCCTCTGAGTGGGAGACTGAACAGGGTACCAGAAGTGTGTCAGGGGATAATTCGTAAAGTGATGACTCATTATGAAAGCATCTTGACTGTGAAATCTCTCTGCCGCTCTCTCTCATCCTGTCTTTGAGTTTTACTGCGACCCCCTACCTCTGTGCACAAAAACATACGCTCCTCCAGCCTCCACTTTCTTTCCACAGGCACCATCTCTCTCGTTTCATCAAAAATCAATCTTTAGGCTGCAAACAATCTCTCCATCTCTCTCTCTCTCTCTCTCTCTCTCTCTCTCTCTCTCTCTCTCTCT